CGGAACATGCTAGCACTCAGATACCTGGCATCCATGAAATGGGCAGCGGCAGTAAGGGTGTCTGCAAGGTCGGCCAATAGCGCCCCCCAGCCGACAGATTGCACGTCCGAGCCGGTGAAAGCCAAATGCACTGACGGCCCCTGCCCCTCCCATCGCCTCGGGGGCATTCACAGCGGAAGTGTTGTGTACGATGGCAGATGTCGCATTCTATTGTTTTACCGTTGACATCTCTCGGGCTGCCCCGACGTCCCTTAACCTTTCTGGGGTATGTCTACGGCCTCTACCTGCCCCCGGAAATGGTTTCTCGCATTGTGGTCCAGTAAGGGATGCCAGGAATGCCATCATACCTCTACCATGCAATCGCCGTCGTTTGCCCTTACGCTTGCCTCGACCCCTACCTTTCACTCTACGCGCCCGTCGGGTACTACGTCGTACCTTACGAATTGGCTTCTTCATAAAACGGCTCCATCTGCGTTTATGCTTCTGGTATCCTAGAAAACGCCATGGCGTCTGTTGCTCTTCTGTAAGATACGTAGGCATGTCGGAATGGTCTGGGGCAGTCGTGTCGTCGCCCGATGACGCGTCGGTGTCGGTTCCAGAGTCAATGTCAGACTCGGCGGGCTGCCCCGCTGAGCCTACAACGGTAATGGCTTGCCCTGGGGCCGCCGTTGCCGACGGTCCCTGGCATCTCGCCCAGGAGCCTTGCGACCCCGTAGCCGGAACACTGTTTTGGGCTAATAAAGTGGTGGTCTCTTGAGGTTGTGGATCATCGTTCCAGACATTTATAGCAGGTTGCCCTGCATTAGTATCAATATGAAAAGTTTCGGCGCGGTGCCCGTGGTAAAGATACCAACAATATTGCCAGGGGTTCGTTCAGCAATGTCGGCATATGACCTCATGCGTTCCAGTGAAGCACCAGATTGTTGTTGATTCCTCGGCATTTGGTGGTTGAGTGGCTGTAGGATATGCTGTGCACGCGACGTCCCCACTCCTAAGGCCCTGAACAGAATGACTGCTAGGATTTGGAAGTTGGGGATGTTACAGTCTCCGCCTCGTAACGGGCTATCTCGAAGGGGGCTAATGTCTGGTCGATCCGTTCTCCCGCCTGGACGCGAAAGTCGATGGGAGCCGCTCCTGGGTTAAATTGGCGTTTCTCCTCTAAGTTCTCAAAATTCGCACTAAGGAGGAACATAATGTGGGTGGCGCCATCGGTGTGGCGGCCGCCAATGTTGACGCCAAAGTTGATGACTGCGACTGCGGGGGGAACTCTCATGGCCATGGTCCGCGCGAGGCCCCCCAGACCGCGCAATAGTCCTGCAGCCTGTTGGGAGGGGGTCATATTGCCTGTGGTCAAATTGATCCAGGCATGTACCTCTCGAGCGATTTCGCGGAAAGGTACCTGACCAGCCGGGTCCCAGTGGGAGCCGGTTGTTCCTGTGTCGTCTCCACCACCCATGTACCCCGCAGCACGCCCGATAGCGACCCGCAGAAGGCCAAATACAGCAACGCCAATTCAGTGGCCCCGTAGGTTGTGGTCGGATATTTGTGGCTGGGTTTGTGGCGTTTTGTCGTGAGCCCGCGCGGGGGTGGACGCGGCACAATGTCATGTCGCGTGTTGCCATGCATGTTTTTTTTCAAAAAAAAAATCCACTTGGAGCCGGTGGGTGGGCTTCAGGAGTGTAGTCGCGCAGGGAAATGGGACTCATGTAAAAGGCCTTCGCGAGAGCGGAGGTAACACTGCAAGTGTCCTTGCGGTTGTGCGTAGTTATGTACATTCCTCCGCGCAGACCCACTGCACCCTGATGTTCCACCATGTCACTGGTCCGCCAGATAGTGTCGTGGATGGTGAAGAGTAGAGCAAGAGCTGACCACCATAGGCCAGCTCCGCTACCAAGTCTGAAAAAGGCCAGCCGCCGAGATATGACTGTGCCTCATCGCGAGGCACACTACTCGAAACACTTTCGCTTGACATGGCCCGTCGCTCCCGCGACGACCTCCTACGTCTGGGACTATCGTTACTACGGTACGGCAGAGCTGGAGCTGGGCTTCGCCTTAGGCGAAGCTGCTGGTTGGGCCTTCTAATCCCGCTTGAACACAAACGGCCGCGGACAAACGCTCGCTATCTCTCGCCTTCGCCCCAGCTTTCTTCAGAGTGCGGAAACCCCAAACACACGGTGGACATCTCACAGGGCGCGTCCTGACTAGAAATCTCAGGACAACACCAGCCGTGGATGCGAGGAGCAGGCAGAGGCATCGGCGCCCGTTCCTCCTTTGGCCTCCTCCTCCTCCTCCGACTCCACGCCGTCAGCAGCAACAAAGCAACGCTCGACAAGGAAAACTTTGATTGGACATAGGAAGATCCTTCTCATCTTCGTCCTCCCCCTTCTCCAGAATCGCCAGCCAAGCCTCCCCAGAACGCACGTTGAATACACCACCAAATGTCTGGACCCCTTCCCGAAAGCAGTTGCTTCATCCCGATCCGCTTGTGAACGGCCCCGGAGACGGAGAACCTGAGAAGACGCCGTCATCAGAAAAACAGTCTTCCGATGCCACCTCTTCCAGGCGACTTCTTCTGGAACAACTTCTTCAAGGCAATTCCATCCGGGCAATTTCCTTGACCTAATTCGTCCGACGGGGCTTCTTCTGGGCGAGTCCTTCCGGCGGACTCCTCCCGACCGAGTTCTTCCAGAAACTGCATTTTCTGGAGCAATTTCTGCCGAGCGATTTCTTCCGAACGAATCTTCCGGACGACGTCTTCCGAGCGATTTCGTCCGGGCGACTTCTCCCGAACGACTTCTTCCAGGCGTTTTCTTCCAGGCGATTTTTTCCGGACGGGTTCTTCCGGACGATTCCTTCGAGGCGATTTTGTCTGGGAGATTTCCTCCGAGGCGACTTCTTCCGGGCGAATTCTTCTGGGACGCTGTTTCCAGGCCACTTCTTCTGGGCGCCTTCTTCCGAGCGACTTCTTCCGGACGAGTTCTCCCGAACCATGTCTTCTAGACAACTTCTTTGGGACTTATTCCTCCTCCTATTATTTTTCCTTGTCCTCCTCCTCCTCCTCCTCGTCGTCCTCCTCCTCCCCTATTACTCCATCATCTCACCTGCCTCCTCTCCATTCTCCTCCTCCCCCTCCTCGTCCTCCTCGCATATGTCGTCGCCCGCCTCCATCTCCTCCTCCTCCTCCTCGTCCTCCTTCTCCTCCTCCTCCATCTCCTCCGCGCCGATGTGCTCCGAGAACAATATCTGCATCGCCGACTTCTTCCAGGCGACTTCTTCAAGACGGCATATTCTGGACCACTTCTTCCGAAGGCGATTTCTTGCGCGACGACTTCTTCCGGACCACTCATTCCGTGAACCAAATCCCGCCAACGCACGAGGGACGTGCTGCCCGTCTCCGCGCCATTGTCCCGCTCCTCCCCGCGCCTCCCGTCCTCCTCCCCTGCAGCCTTCGGCGGAGCTCCGTACGGGGCCTCGAAACGTGTGAGGGGTGTGCCGACATGAGTACGGCGGCGCCATGCGAACCCTGCCACAGGGGCCTTCGGTGAAACTCCCAATGGGGCCACGGAGCGTTTGATGGGTGTGCAGACATGGGTGCGGTGGCGCCAGGCGAACCCCACCAACAGGGCCTTGCGTGGAGTCCACCATGGGGCCACGAACCGTGTGAGAGGTGTGCTGACATGGGTGCGGTCAGGCACATGCGAACCCTGCCACTGTGGCCTTCCGTGGAGCTCCCTATGGAGCCTCGAAGCTTGTGAGGGGTGTACCTAAACGAGCGAGGTAGGGCCATGCGAACCCTGCCATTGCGGCGGAGCTACGAAGGCACGAACATGTGAGGGGTGTGCCGGAAGAAGTGCGGTCGGCGGTAGTTCCATGCGAACCCTGCCATGAAGGCTTTCGGTAAAGCTCCAACTGGGGCCACGAAATGTGAGAGAGGTGCGCCGACATGACCACAATTGCGCCATGCAAACTTGTTCCAATCGATTTATTCCAGTCACCTCCTTCCAAACGACTTCTTCCGAACGGCTTCTTCCGGACGACTTCTTCCAAACGACTTATGGACGACTTCTTCCAAACGACTTCTTCCAAACGACTTTTTCTGGACGACTTCTTCCGGACGACTTCTTCCGGACGACTTCTTCCAGACAATTTTTTCCGGACGACTTTTTCCGGACGACTTCTTCCGAGGCGACTTATTCAGGACTAGTTCTTTCGGACCACTTCTTCCGAAACATTACTTCCAAACGTTCCGAACACCTTCTTTGTCATCGTCTTCCCATACCTTTTCCTCCGTCTCCGCCGCACCGATCTCTTGAGAAAAACTTATGTCTCGACGACTTCTTCCTGACGAATTTTTCTGGATTGCCTCTTCCCGACCACTTCTTCCGATAACGACTTCTTCCGCGACGACTCCTTCCGGACCACTTCTTTCCGGACCACTTCTTCTGGACGACCTCTTCCTGAAGACAATTATTCCAGAAGAAGCCGTCGCGGAAGAAGTCGTCGCGGAAGACGTCGTCGTCTTCCAGACAGCCCCAAGACCCTTCCCAAGGGGGCACCGAGGAGGCCAACATCACTGATGTTCATCAAGCTGTTCAATCTTTCTCGGGTCCTCGACTTTTTGAGATTCCGACGCTCCAAGACGGCCTTCGTATTGATAACGATGTGGCGATGCTACTAGCGATGATGATAGGGATGAGTAGGATGGGGAGAAGGGGACGAGAGGGTGTGTGAGGTGAGGGCTGCGCGGGATGTCCACAGGAAAAAAGAATCCCACTTCGGATGTGGTGCCACTTAAGCGGAAGCCTTCGAGAATTCCTTACGCGAGCGGCTTGCGCGGCTTTGCCAGGGCAGTTTGATTATTTGCTGTCGCTCAACTGAAAGAAAAACTGCTTAACTTGCAACCGAAATCATCCCACGGCATGTCTTATGACAGAATACTACAAAGGCTTAACTCGCGCGTTAAGTCATAATGACCTTGTTGGTTTCAGTCATGTTCAATCCTTGTCCTTCTCCTTCTTCATCCTCTTCGCCTGCTTGTGGGGGCGCACCTCCTCTTCCCTGGCGCCCACGGGGAGCGCCTCTGGCGCTGCCTGGGCCTTCGCCGCCGCCGCTGGGACGCCCTCGGCGTCCGCACTCGTACCTTGCGCGAGGATCCCCGCCTCGGCGCTCGCCTCCGCGGGGTCTTCCGCAAAAGCCTTCCTCTTGGCCTGCTTGGCCAGCTTGGACGGCTGCTTCCGGTCGTCGCCCGGCAGGGGCGGTAGGTTGTCGAGCCTCCGCTCCAGCCGCGCCACCAGCTCGTCCCTTCGGCCCCACGTTGTCAGGTCCAGTTCCCTGAGCGTGGTCTTGAGTTCCTCGGCTGGGGCCTTCAGCAGCCTTTGGCGCCTTGCGTCCTTGGACTCCTCCAGATCCTTCTGGCTGCCGCCGCCCGAGGCCCCGCCCAGCCCTGGCTGGGCAGCCGGAGGCCGCTGGTCGTCAGCGGCCCCGCCTGCCTCGGCAGTTTTTGCCACACGTCGCCGACGCGGCGCAAGGCTCTCTGCTGCCTGGGGATCCACTTGCGCCCCGGAGCTTGGCTGCCTATCCGCGGCGGCATGCCCCGCGTTGCCACCGCCACCGCTGGGCACTCCTGGCGCCCTAAGCGCAGCTGGCGCCTCACGGCTGGGCGGTCCAGTCGCGGCGGCGTGCCCAGCGTCAGCGGCGGCACCGCCGCCCGCAGGCGCCCTGAGCGCGTCTGGCGCGAGGGGGGAAAGGGCAACGCCGGCCCGCGGCATTGGGGAGGAGGAGAGGGGGAGGGGAGGCACGACTTGAGCCAACCGCCGCCGAATGTATGCACTGTGTGTGATCGTTGCTCCCAGAGGTTGAACCTCTAATGTAATCGAGAGCTTGTCGCAGGCCCCACTGTCTTCTCAACAAATCAACGCTTCAATGTCATGCCTCGCCGCAAGTGCTGACTCTGTAATGTCGAATGCGGCAGTCCATGGAAACCAGAAACTCGCCACAGGCCATGCTTTGATTTTTAGAACCGAAGATCCACGACATGCGAGGGCCCGCCGCAGGCATATTTTCTTCTCGGCACGCGTTTCTGAGCAGCCCGCACCAGCGCCATCTTTTTTGGAGCCCCGCGGCGGCGAACCACGCCCCCTGCCCCCGACCCCGGGCCCCCTACGACGCAACGGTATTCCGCCGCCCGAATCCCGGAAGGACCACTCATGGCCCAAACGAAGCCGCGCGCCCCCCCGGCCAGAAGAAAAACGAATGATGATAAGAATAACGCAGCGACGCTTGCATGCCCCGGAACAGCCACCACATGTACGACATGAAATTGATTCGCGTGCGCGGAAATCCCCCGCTCCGACAATAACAACCACTTCGTTTTGGAACACCTCGTTACCTGCGATAGCACCAAACAATACAACACCACGTCCTACCACTTACCTATACATGCTGTTCTTGTGATTGGCCACGTGTGTAAATACACTCCCTCGAGCTACACAGCTCGGGGACAAACTCCCGGACCTTGTTCTGCAACACCCAACGCAACAATTCATCTGAGCAGATGCCGCGAGTGTGTCGTAAGCGTTGAATGGAATGTCATCAGGTCCCTGCCAGTCCTCCGTCTTCAATGGATTGCTCGAATGGCCGTACAAAGCGGTGCGACGGAGGTAAAAGAGGGGGGTGACGTTGATGCCTGTTTTTTTTGCTGGCGGAGACGGGTGCATTGCAGCGCAGGGGCCCGAGCCACGCCCAGGAACTTGATGCCCCAAGGCGGTGGGTGGACTGCTCAACCACGGCCGAACGCCTCAACCCAAATGGCCACAGGCATCGGGCATAGCGAAGGGATGCACATTCGTGTTGGCGCACGGGGCACATCCTCGAACGGCCCGCCCCGATCGCAGACCGGCCGCGGACTACCGGTATCCGTGGGACTCCACCAGGAACCTAGCATGTTGCGCCGAAGTGGCCACGGAGGCGGAAGGCGGGAGAGAGGAGGAAAAATATTGAGGAAAGGACGAAATGTGGGGGAGGAGGAGACGACGTAACCTTTAAGGTTCGTCTGTGCAACTTGGGCTCTCGCAGGGTGGCGCTAAGGCCCTTTTCAACATGAGACCCCCTGTGCCACTTGTGCCACCTGCGGAGCCCGCATCAGCAACAGAGTAGGCCCGACAGTGGCTGAGTACCCAGCGCTCGGGATACCTTACCGCGCGCTGAAAAAAAAAGCGAAGGATGGCGCCGCCCGGTCAGAAGCGGGGAATCTCACCGCAAGGCTGACCAAGCAGGAGGAACGCACCAAATAATGAAGGTGCCATTTTCCCATGGGGAGCGCGGAAACGCGGAGAGGGGCGCAAACGCTCAGACGCTCGCGGGGGCGTCTGTGCTGGCCGCGGCGGCGGCGCTCATCCGTGGAGCTACTCTGGTTCCAGCGCCGCCCGGAGCACCTGAATTCGCCTCGCCCTCCAGATCAGCACTTGCGCCGGCTGGCAGGGGGCGAAGCCCGAGACGAGGGCGATCTCGGCGGGCGGCCAAAAATGGTTAGCGCTCGAAGGCAAGAGTGGCAGCCGTCCTGGTGCCATTTGTGGTCGCCCGTGCTCCTGCTAGCGTCTTCATTATACTCTACTGCCAGGCGGGCTTGAGCGATTGCGCGCGTTCCTTGGATTATCCCCGCCGGTCTCCCGCCGCCGCCCGTCCCCGAGGAATCATGATGCGCCATGCGCTGAGCCGCTTGCGCAGAGGGATGGCGAACGTGTCAGGAAAGGCCGACGGGCGCAAGGCTCTGGCAAACATTCGCCGTCGATGCGGCCTCTTGCGCTCTGAGAACGCAAGCCCCGCATGGCCACGCGCCGCAAAGAACGCGCCTCGCAATTCCCGAACATTCCTGAAGCGCGCGGGCCAGAGGCGAGCGCGGTCGAGAAATCGGGCAATGGCGAAATCACGCCGCCAGCACTGCGCAGCACATTTCGCCTGTCCAGAGCGAATAAGGGTTGCATGGCTCTGCGCGCATTCTCGAAGCTGTACAGCGCGGGCTGCAGAATCGGACTATCGTTTTCCACGGGGCGCGCAAGCTGCTGGCCCGCACGAACATCTGCGCAGGAATGGGAGCGATGAGCGCGGAAGACGGGTGGCATTCAGATCAGCGAGGCGAAGGCTGTTGGGCGACAGCCGCAGCAACCTGCGAAGGGCGGCACGCCCGACGATCTTCAATTTGGCCCATTAGGGCATCCGTTTTTAAACAGAGATCCACTCGGAACAGCCGCGCGGCCTCGGCCGCGCGTTCGGCCCAGAGAGGAACCAGAACACATTTCACCGCCTGGAGCTTCCTGAGAGCACGCTTTTCAATGTCCTGCAACACATGCGAGGCGTATACTCAGTCCTTGAGGCAATGGGCCACCGTTGCCACGTCCTCTGCGCGCTCCCAAAGACCCCTCCCTCTGTGGCGCCTCGCCCGCGGGAGCTGAGCGACCCCGCGCGCGCGCTCGAGAAACGGGCCAACTGCAAGAGCCCAAGGCAAACCAGAGAGTGGACATCCCTGTAGCACGCCTGAGCCCAGATTGAATAGGAAGACCACTTGGCTTTGGATCTATGTGAAACCGCGCGGGAAAAAAACTCATGCGCTCGCGTGAAACAAAAAAATCCGGCGGATAACCAAACCCGCTAGAAACCTCGAACAGCCACTGAAGGCCCATGCTCGGAATGGCCGCCTCAACGCCATGCGCGGCAAGCACGGCGCGATCACCCTCAGCGCCCGGGGTGATGCTAGCCTGCCGGGCCGCTGCGTCGAGGTTGATGACGTTGGCCAAGTGGATTCTGCCCGGGGCGACACCAGGATGTTCTCTCGCATGAACTATTCGACGCAAATCGGCTGAAGCTAAGAGTTCGCAAAGCTAGCCAATAGTTTGGCGTCCGCGCTTCTAGCCGAGAGGGCCCTGACGTCGGAAGAAAGTCGGGCGCCGCCCCGGGCGCCCTCCGGCGCCGATCCCCCAGGGCGGAGCGCGAGCGGGCTGTCATGGAGCTCCGACGGAGACGCGCGCCCAACAAATAAGTGACGCGTGGGGCGATAAAGTGCTGCGATTTGCTCAGGAAGGGCATTCCAGGCTGAGTAGCTAAGTTGATCAGGACCAAGGGCCGAATGTCGAGCATGTCTAAGTGCTATCCGAAGGTCGGCGTTGAGGGCAGCGGTGAAGGCCCTTGGCTCCTCGACCGCGGCGGGGTCCACATGAGAGCCTTCAGGACGAGCCCCAGCGAGAACGAGCCAACTAGATCTAGGGGGCCAGAAGTAGGCGCGGCGTTTGCGAGTACGAGCAGAACGCCTTCCATTGTCAGCTACTACCGATTCCCATTCGGAAGCCTTGCTTCCCGCGGCCCTGGCCCCGCGCTGCGGGAATTCAAAATTCAGGGTGCGAATGGTGCTGGCGAAGGCCCCCATTTCCTAGAGCTGGGTGCTGCCGTTTTCGATGAGCAGGAAGCGCGCGCCGTCGTCGTCGGCGGCGGCGGCGACGAGGTCCTCCGCCGCGGAGATGTCGCCGCGCCAGACACGCCTGGATACCGCTCTCATGGTGACGATCCGGCCGCCCTTCGCTCTGCGGCCCTTGTCCGCGGTGGGTAGCGGTTGCATCTCGTCGCGCACCTGGCGAGCCGCCTCTTTCAGCAGTATCTTCATGCATGTCCACAGATCGGCAATGTGAGATCGTTGGGGGTCAGCAGCTCCTGGGAGGTGACAAATAAGCACTGCGTGCCGGCGATCGCGCGCAATCGGCTCGAATCTTAGCCTGCGGTTCAGGGCGAGCGCGGTCGATGGTGATTGGCGCGCGGCCACTGAGCCTCCCGCCTGGAATCGCAGCCGCGTCAATGTCAACCTCCGCTCGGAAATCAATGTTGAACGTCGACAAAGTCGCGCGTGGGAAATTCAACGAAAACTGCGTCCAAAATTGCTGCGGCGGATGCATCTCTGCTGTAGCCAATGGGGAAATCGGTTGCAATCCCAGTAGGTGGTGGCGAAGAGTTTCTCCCAGAACCGTTGCAAAGGTTGGCCATGAGCATTTGGGAAAGGGTTCGCCTCCGCGGCGGGGCCCGCGCAGCCCGGGTCGATGGGTGCAAATGCCAGAAGCTAGACATGCGCGGCAAGAGCAGTCCACCAGCGCCTCTCATGTCTCCTGAATCTTCAGCTGGCTGACGCGGTCGATCTCGCAGTTACGCGCGTGCATGATGGCAAAAGAAAATCGCCCTTGGTAGGGTGAATTTCCATAGCGGACACTCTGCCAGGGCATATACTGTCATGCTGAAATGCAATGCCAGCTTCATCGCCTGCTGGGGCGCCGGCAGCGGCGGCGGCGACGGTCCGAGGAGCTACTCCGGTCCCAGCGCCGCCGCCACCGGCTAGCTCTCGCGGAACTAGAAAGACAAGCCCACTAGTGCTGGGGCAGAAAGGATTGAAGAAGACCTTGTATGGGTAAAGGTGCGCCACCACTGCAATCTGGAGCGTGTCCGGATTGCCGCGGAACCCTGGCATTAAAACGACTGCGCCACGACGCATGTCTGACGCAAACTTGTTCCATGTGGCCCTCCTCCTGCGAGGTTTGTGGATGAACGACCCTGCGTTCCAACTGACCATCGTAGCACTCGTGGGTTTCACAGATGACGCCCAGGGCGACCACTCCATGCTACTATAGTCCACGCAGATGAATCCACGCTCGCGAATGTCTGATTCAACGCGGCCACTAACAATGTCTTGTCCACTTCGGCGCCCGTGCGAAGACAAGACGGCTCTTCAGCTCCTTGCGCTTCGACCGCAGTCGCTGGCACCGCATCGATGGTCATTGTGCCTTTTGATCGCTGCGCGCCAACATGGTCTGCATAATGCTTCTCTTGAGTGATAATATGAAGCCGTTTTTTGTTGGAACTCCAGGTGCACTTGCGTGGACCTCCTGTCGGCATTG